AATATACACCCAGTGATGGAGTACCGGATCGCGAGCTTTAGACGGCTGAGGATCGTTTGAAGCTCGCGATTCCGAACGATCGGCGGATGAGGAGTTCGGGCAATCAGTTTCATCCGTTGAGGCGGAACCTCAGTGAGCAGTCTTGATCATTTAACTGAACGTCAAACACGAAACGGCTGTACACAACAGTCTATGTTCGATTTAGTCAGCCATCGTTTGAAGCCCCAACTGTATCGTGTTGTATTGCACATAATCGGGTCAATCGATAACGATGGAATCATTTTACGGCCCCTATATGGCGGCAGTATGGATCATGTGTCGATAAAAATAACTTGCAATCCCCCCTCGCCCCACCCCATTGATGCACCGCACACAGCGTGCGCCCACTGAGTAGACAGTCAAGTGCGTCGAATCATGCTGCGAATCCTAATTGTGAACTGTCGCTCGCGGACAATGGGCAGGCATTGAGGGATGGCATATTAGTTGTACTGCTGCAGCGCGATACATAAATCGCCTAGCAACACAGAGCGTAGCACGACAGGGTTCCACGTAATCAGACACTAAGCAGCTGGCACAGATCAAAGTAAGAAACAATGTTGTGTGCATACAGCCAACCTACTTAATTGAGTACACCTCGTATGTGGTAATATTTTCATCAATCTGAGATAGCTGTGTCAGCAAACTTTCCGCAGCTTTGATAAGCTTGAACGATTTAGCTACCACGGACTTTGACTCAGTTCCGTACGGGGGCAGAACCAGTGCGTTGATGATCCTAGCTATTTCGGTCGGAGAAAGCGCACGCTTACTATTAAATATGCCTATGAATGCGTGGAACACAACCTTAAGACGAAGTACAAAAACGCAAAGTTTCCCAGCACGACAGTACGCTGCACACAGACTAATTCTGCAAAAATGTGGGAAGGCACTCAAATTTGCTGGCCCACTCACCTCAAAAAGTGGAGGCCTTGGTCCGCTTACGCCCCCCTCCATCCCCTCCCCCCCCCCTGCTCCTACACCTATGGCTACATTTCAGTACGTTATACGCAAAGCCAACGGAAACAGCGACGGCGCACTCGAGAATGTTTCAGCTGCGCCTTGTACGTTCCACATGAAACGTTTCAAATGCGCCACATAGGCTGGCGAAGGGCTTCGATACAATAGCGGTGAGTCGGCTATTTCGGAGCACGACAGTTCATAAAACATATCAGTGTTGGGGATACTCATTGCCTTCGTGACCTTTTGATTGCGTTTCTAAAATCCGAAGGGCTTCGTCGCGTTCATTATTGCTGTATTATGGTCGAGGACTAATATTTCTTCGATTTATTGCACGAGGCGAAGCCGAGTCTTCTATCTTGGAAAAATTGAAGCATAAGAAACTATTTCATGCTTGCAAGGCTTCTTTGAGCTTCAATCTGGGGAATGTGACGCATGTATCAAATTGCTTGGTCTTCATCTGCAATAAGTCACAGCCTCCATCCAGTGGCGATGCCACCTCTGTGGAGATCAAAACGCGGGTGTTCAGTTAGTTTTCTTCTATGCACGATCATATGGTCAATTATAGGTGTTGTCCGGAGTTTGGGAAGGCGGGCAGCTGCCCCAGCCCCCACTCCCTTTCATCTGACGCCATAGCTTCTACCTAATGCTTTCCGGAGGGGGCGGTAGCGAACTGGTTCCAGGGCAATGCATAGACGTCGGACCGTGACAATGTCCGGGTGTTCGAGAATGAGCCAGTACAAGAACAAACAACTATAAGGACAGGACGACATATCTGTCTAAGGCGCTTTAATTAGACCAAGTTCCTTCAGAGGTTGTCATTTATTGAGTGATTGATTTATGGAGTTTTAACGAAAAGCCAATCACAGGCATGACAGCAAGGTTCCGCAAATACCAGTTTATGGGAAGAAATACCTAATTTGTAGGCTGCACACATCCGTGGCGGTGGCTTGGCCAACTTTTTATAGCGATTGCTTTAAACCGTTATGGGGTGAGAACAAATAACGACAGCAAGTAACAAATCACAGGAATCACGTTTACCATGTGTTGGGAAACGAAAGGTAACGGAGCGGTGATGTGTCTACCCTATGGCAGTAGATCATGTTACGCAACCTAGACCACAAACAGTTGGTTTTTATAAGTTTCTCAACCACGATCGGTGTACTTAAAACAGGCACCGCCTGGGGGATCGTGTTCAATCCCCGCCTGGTATCCTCCAGAACCAACTGTCGGATGGAAAAAATTCGGACGTCTTCAAAAAGCCCGGGTTCCTACTTTCTCGAAACTCAGGCAAGAGCCGCTAAAATTATTTTGGGGCTACACTGAACAGGTGAGATCAAGGTCACGTCAAATATAGTCGGAACTTGAAATAACCAAGTTCATTCTTGTGACGCATGCTTGCAAGCCACTGTTGCTTCATGCATGTAGCAAAAGCTCTTATCAATAGGTATGTGGTCATACTTGGTCGAAATGAGGTTGCAATCTGCCGGCAACTCAAGCCATATCAGGATATTCATCTTTGAGTGAGACACGTGAGACAAATCATGAAATTTACCCGAAACTTGCCAGACATGTGCTGCGTAATTAACGCCATACTATGAAACAAATCATTCGACAATCGTCTTTTGTTTTCGAAAATGAAAGGGCATTGATAACCGTAGATAAGACAGTAGCAATACCTCATTCCTTGGGGAAAAACCAGGAGAATGGAGATATGGTTGTGGCTGCAGTCTGGTTCTTCGCCTAGTTTTCGCCATCTCATGGTTTTTCTCCGAGGAATAAGACTATTACTACTGTATTATCTATGTGCATAATGCTCCTCGCTCACGCATCTGAACAACTTACACGTTGATGGCCAGTTGAAAACTATGTAGGATATCCTCGCCTTCTAACTATGCCGAATTTGATACGATTTGATACGGTTCATTCAACAGGTAATGGATAACTGGATGAGACAGTATCAATACCCTAATTCCTCATAGAATGCATACAGGAAGAATGAAGGGATAGGTGTGCTTTTTTCGGCTACATGCCTTTATCAACACGAATATCAGTAGTAAATTCAAAATTGTCTGAAACTACCAGCCATTTCTAGGATGCATTGCGCGTCTAAGGACTAAAATAGGCAAAAACTACGCCCGCGTGCAAACAAATTCAAGCTAACATGGACCGCACATAACACACCATTTTGGTGTGTTGATTTTAATTCCTGGCTGGAAGTGATCTGGATATGGTTTTCGGCGAAACGGAGGCGCGCAGGGACGAGTGGTGGTGGGGGGGGGGGGGGAGGGGAGGGGAGGCAGAACAGCCGATGGCCTGGCAGGGCTGGAGACACGAAATGACCAAGTCCCTATCCCCAGTTACCTGTCTGTGTCTATGCTTGTGTTTCCAGTTTATCTGTTCGTGTCCCCAGTTACACGACCAAATGCGCGTGTTGCCACCAAATTACAAAGCGCTGTTGACCTGGTCCCAAAGCAAACAAAAAATGTATCTGGTGTGCTGACGCAAAAGGCATAAGCTTCGAAAGTGGCGTTCGGCGCAATAACATGGATAGTTTTTTAATACAAATCTGTTAATGGTCGGCACGTGGAAGCGTAAACATGCAGATTATCGAGACGATGGGGAGGGGAAGGGGGGGGGGCAGGCAGACGACGGCGTCCCTGCCCCCAGGTACCGCAGGACGCTGTCGCCTGCCCTTGTTGTGGAATTCTGAAGACGTGCTGTGCGTTGCTGCACTTGGCGTCATATCCACGATGCGCTCATTTGTTTAGTCCTGTGCTGGTTGCCGGCTTCCGGCATCCACCCCATTCATTTCCATGCATTCCTGCTTCTGCATTAATTAATTCACCCTCGTTCTGTTTTTTTCTCATCATCTATTTATGTTCATTCATTCATCACCGCGCACTCGCTAATCCCGTACCTTTTTTGTCTGCCATTAATCTTTATCTGGGCGACAGCACCTTCGTGACAAGCCACGTTTGCCTGACTTATTTCGCCACATTTTTCCATTCAGTCCATAGTCGGTTGCTCAACACCAAACGCTGGTGAGAGACGAAGAAACTATAGAAAGAAAGAGGACGGCTGTGGAACGGGAAAATTACATATTGTAACTATTCAGTAGTCAATTTGCATCGGGCCAAATAATCGTTAGCTATGTCAGTTCATTAATTTCGTACAATATCGGCGTGGTATGTCAAGTTTTGTCAATATATTCCATCGCGTCTTTGTATTATCCGTCAGAAGTTCACAGCTATCAAACAAGGGGCCTGGTGTTCCGTGGTCCATATCATACTGACTATCAAGAAGGGATGCACATGGAACAATATTTGTAAGACGGAGACAGATGCACATGAACTGCTTGCACATCCGGTTTCATAACTTAATCTTCACCGAACACTCAGAAATTCCGACAGACCGACTGATAGAGGAACTTGGATCGGGATCGAATGAGAGAGAGGACAGGGATGGAAGTTTTGACAACAAATAGACGGAGATGATTCCAAGGGACTTAAACGTCATGGTAGTGAGGGTAATGAACAGATTGATAGAGGTCCGCACCGAAGGCGAAGCAGAGCGACAATCAACTCCAGCACCCTCACCTTCAACATCCTGATGCGCACCGACGCCTAGGACGAACTTCAACTGCCGGGCCACGACCTTGACTTCCAGCAGATTCTCGCTGAGAAGGTCTGGGCACGCTCCTCACCGCCATCGTGAGCGGGGGCAAGCCTGCCACATTTCTACGGGCCTCGAACAACGCAGAACAGAAGTATGATGGGACCGCGGGGCGCGGCGCAACCGCGCGGCCGATGTCTGTGGCTAGAGCAGGGCGCTCCCTCACCTCCCCATCGCTCAGGGGGCAGTCCGCCATCAGGCCAGTGGTATGGGCGAGGCTTGCGCGCGGTGCCACTCGCTCTCACGCCCCGCGCCTAGCTACGATGACCCCTTCAGCGGGGAGAGTCATCATGGCCAGGTGTGGGACCTGGGACGCGCGAGTGCTGTCCGGCTCAGAACAGGATGCCCTCCGCTGATGACAGCGGCCGTCCACCGGACAGGTCTGGCGGGAGCCCCCTCCATGATCTTTCATCCTATCCAGTTCTCTCATTTGTTCCTAAATGCTTAACCCTTAACATCGGTTGGTTTAGGGGCGGTAAACACAGCGTCACTGAGGAGAGCAAAATTTGCAATCGCATGGAAAAGGGTTGCTAAGAAGTGAAATAAAAGTACCAAGAGCCACAAATCACAGTCCACTCGAACGGTGTCGAATTCTCAAAAGGTAATTAAGATTACCTCCTTACGAAAGTCAAACACGTAACATTCGTTGAGTAAGTTGTATTTTTATTAATTTTAGGTCACGAGCCTTTCCCACAGAGTCAAAAACTATTTCAGTTTTTGACTTTGTGAGCGAGGTCCGTAGCCGCAAATTCATCAGAGTACAACTTGCTTTACGAATACCACCCATATAACTATGGTAAGGAGGTAGTCTTAATTTCGTTTTGATACTTACTACGCCTTACATGGTGCAAACACTGTATCATCTTAGTGTTCAATCCTATTTGATTCTAAAAAAATGGGGGTCAAACACAGATGGTTTGCCAAAAACAATCCTAGGAATTCAAGTTTTCCTTTATGACTTCACCCGCGCGCAATAGTTTTTTTCTGGCGCTTCAGTGATATTTGCCTTGAACGCTATTATAATGACAGAGATAAGGGACACCCAAACAGCTAATACAATTTTAACACGCCCCCGACTGACCGGTTGAATACCACTCGCTCGGGTAGGGGTCAATTTGAATCTCCTCACTGAGATATCAGAAAATAATAGAGCTAGAGACGCTAAACTCACGGGGTGTGTTGGTCTGTATGGAAAATTATTTTTGACAGAATATTGCGTTCCTAGGTTATGACCTTCGGGACAATCAAGGTCAACCAAGGTCAAGCTCCGGGTTGGTGTCCAAATTGTCCCGAAAACCCTGATACATTTTCTGAGCAAAAGGTCACTGAGGCTTATACAAGGTCAGTAATCTTGTTTGATCTTTCGCAAGTCATGGTGAGCTAAATCATACCTAGATTTAAATAAATCATACCAAGAAACTCTCAATTATTGCACCGGGCTGAGCGACTTCCTAGCAATTGCCTGCCTTAAATTCATGGCATGACTTTGACCTGTCGTAGGTCAACAGCCTTACAAGGTACATCTAAATGTTTGATACCAAACAATCTGCTATTCAATTTTCTACAACTGGGTAAAACTTGTCGTGGCTACACCGCGTCGATCGGAAACTATTCTGGAAGGATCTTCGGGGGTCAAATTGGCCCCCACCTGGGCGCGTGCTAATGCTCAGTTATTCTGGTATACTGATGTCGCAATGCAAGCAGTAAGTGACGGAAATATGTACTTATTGACGCACGCGAGCCAGTTCCAGTCATGGTAATCCCATGCTTCATTACTCTGTTTCCCAAGCCGTTATGTTTTCTGCGGTCCCTTAGTCGTCCGGACGCACTATAATTCATGCTCCATCCCGTGCTCCTGACCACGATGGAGCATCGCGACACTTCTGTTGTTTAAACAGAATGTGTCAGGGCCGGTGTACCTTCATCAGCTAACACGCGTGGGGCTAGGGGTTTGGAACCAATGTGTCCACGCCCCCCCCCCCCCCCCCCTCCTCTGTCGACGTCCTGGGATCATGAAATCCGAAATGAGCGTCAAAATCTACCCCATACAGACAGTTCTCTGGTAAAAACGTGCTTTGGTATTGACGTTGATCTGGCCCTTATTCCTGACCCAGCCTGACTGGAACCAGCCCTAGTGCTAAATTCCATTGTCTGGATGTCTAAGAAACCATCACGCAGACACATTTTTCATTTAACACTCCGTTGTCGCATCAAATTGAACGATTCCCTGGCTATTGCCTTCGCGGACTGCAATGACCTGATTTTGACCTGCCATAGGTCAGCAAGCTTACACAGTAGATTCAGTTTTCTTATACCGTAAGATCGGCCGCATAAACATCTATAACTATGTAACGTACCGCGCAACTACGCCGCGCCACCCGAAAGTTATGTTCACGTTTACACTTCTTTAACACGCGCTCGGGTGGCCGGCTTGAGTGGTGGGGGTCAATTTGACGCCCCAGTGGTGACGTCAATTTGACGTCGTTCGGGTGGGGGTCAATTTGACGCCCCTGAGATCTCGGGAACTAATAAAGCTAGTGACACAAAATTTGCAGGTTCTTTTGACCGGTACCTGAACTCACTTAGGCCAACGTTTGAGCCTCCTAAGTCATGACTTTCAGGTCAAATAAGGTCAAACAAGGTCAAATTCAACATTGGTCTCCAAACTGCCCCCAGGACATAGAAAGCTGTTTCTAAACAAAAGGTCAAAAGTCCATTTGAGGTCAGTGACCTTGCTTGACGCATTGAAGGTTATGGTGACCAAAATCATGCAAGACCGCTCTGAGTTTTGCATTTGAATAAGCGACAAAAATTACGCTAGGCAGTATGTTTATAAAACAAAATACCGACCCGGGTCATTTTAGGTCAATGACCTTTTCTGACCTCTAAGAAGTCAATAGGAGATGCGTAATGCGATTCCTACTGTCAATAAATTCGAATGAGCACCACAAACTATCCCGAACAGCAAGCCTTAGAGTAGCAAATCAGGTCGGTTGTGACCTTGGTCTGCCCTTCATACCTGACCTTACGTCAACGTAATTTGTTCATCCAATATTTGTAGTGCCTAAGAAAGCATCTCAGAGATGTATAGCTTCGTCAAACACTCCGCTATTGTATCAGATTGGACGATTCCCTAGGAATTGCCTTCGCTGAAACCATGGCCTGACTTTGACCT